AAACTCACCCCCCCCCCCCGCAAGGCAGTTGGAATTTTCAGTTGGGAGAGGAGAATGATGTCAGCTGCTCCCTAGGCAGAGGCTGTGTGTGTGTGTGTGGGGGGGGGTTGTAAAGACAGACAGGCAGATAAACGTTGGCTGATGGTTGCCAACTCCCGGTTCGAACTCCAGGACATAGGGTTGCCAACTCCAGGTTGGAAACTTCCAGGATATTTTAGGGATGAAGCCTGCTGAGGGTGGAATCTGAGGAGGAGGAGGAAGAGGGGGACCTCAGACAGATACAATGCCATACTGCCCACACTCCAGACAAGCTGTTGCCAGTCTCCAGGTGACAGCTGGAGAGATCTTAAAGCTTTGGTGCTACTTCAAAGTTCCCCAGGAGCCCAAAACAGAGTAGTGTTTTGGAAAATCTTTAGGAATTGTTTGGTGCATTTACGATGGGGCTCCTGGGGAACTATTGTTGCCAATCTTGGCCCAGCAGCCATCAAACCATTCTCTTCAACCCCCTGCTGTGCAGCTGACTTTCCCCTAGGGTTGCCAATCTCCAGGTGGGACCTGGAGATCTCCCACTGTTACAATTGATCTCCAGATGACAGAGATCAGTTCCCCTGGAGAAAATGGATGCTTTGGAGGGTAGACCCTATGACATTATACCTGCTGAGTCCTTCCGCTCCGCCCAATGCTGCCCTCTACAGAATCCACCCCCCAAACCTCCAGGTATTTCCCTCCTTAGAGCTGGCAACCCTACATTCCCCTCAGTGCCTGTTGGTAGGCAACTAAGCTTGGTCCTGTCACCTACTTTGGCCTTTTGGAGAAAACACATTGGGGCCAATCCTGATAGGGTTGCCAACTCCAGATGGGAAATTCCTGGAGACTTGAGGGATGGAGCCTGAAGAGGGTGAGGTTTGAGGAGGGGTGGGACCTCAGACAGGTACACTGCCATAGACTCCACCCTCCAAACCAGTCAGTCCCACATAGGGAACCATTGTTGCCAATCTCCAGGTGAGGGCTGGAGAGCACTCAGAATTACAACTGCTCTGCAGAAGGGAGGGCAGAAGTCAGCTGAAGTCAAAGGGGCAGATAATGGTAGGTTGGTGGCTAGCTGGGAAGGAGATGGGGTTGCCAACTACATGCTGACAAATTCCTGGGGATTTGAGGGGTGGAGCCTGGAGAGGGTGGGGTTTGCAGAGGGGTGGGACCTCAGACAGGTAGAATGCCATAGACTCCACCCTCCAAACCAGCCATTTTGTCCTGGGTAACAATTGTTGCCAATCTCCAGGTGAGGGCTACAGATTACTCACAATTACAACTGCTCTTCAGGTAGCAGAGATCAGTTCCTCTGGAGAAAACAGTGGACTCTGTCATTATACCCTGCTGAGGTCACCACAGCAAATTGACACTGTTTGCCCAAAGCCAGAGCACTGCCCCAGAGCCTCTTTCTAGATCTCGTTGTATTGCTTTCACAACGGGCTTTACTGCTAGTGGTACTATAAAACAGAACAAACACAAAGGACTGTAAAGACAAGGACGTTTGTGTCAAGGATGAAAAACTGATAGAAGATGAATGTAACCGATGAATGTAACCTTGCCAGATAGCAGTTATATGAGTTATATGAGTTACAAGGGGGGACCCGCGATACTCGCGGGGGGGGGAGGCAGAGGAGGAAGCAGCAGGAGGGGGGAAGTAACCCCCCATCCTGCTGGGTCC